CTCTGTTGTTAGCATTTTGATGAATTTTCCTTTCAGCCTCTTCTCTGTATTTTATGTTTTACAAAATTGAGACTAAATATTCAGTTCTGTGTCCTACCTTTTTAATACTCTGTATTTTGTCCTATATTCCTACGTCATGATTTTCAAAGGTGACCTCATTCCATTTGGTAGATACGCTGTTCCTTAGCAATCTCCATCTTATTGGAACCTTTTGTTTACTGTGAACTGTCCTGCACACACATCTTTGATAACCCTGACTATGTCCTTTAGGATAGACCACTAGAAGTGTGATTATCAGGTGGCCTCAAAGTTGTTTCTCCCCCCCATCCCCCACCCCCTCAGTGCTGGGGACCAAACTCAGGGCCTTCCACTGAGTCAAATCCCCAACCCCTGGCCTCAGAAGTTTTTAATACAGATTACCACATTGTGAACTGGGAGATTTTTTTCAGCCATTCATCTGACATGGCTCTGGAAATGAAGTCTAAAAATGGCTTTCCCATGGGATGTCTACAGGAAAGAGATACTGTCAAAAATAGGATTATCTCAGACTTTAAGACATCGTTTTCCCATGAGATCATGTCCACAGGTCAGATCTGAAGCTGGGTGATGTGTAAGGCTTGAAACTCAAGGGAAATGATTTCTTTCACCTTGTGTTGTGCAGAATATCCCTATGTAAAAAGGTGGTGCATATTTGAATATGAATCATCTTGTCTGGGGAGTGTCTTTACCAAGCTGCTACCATGGAGAGCATCCTTCTCTCCTTGAATGCTCCCTTCTTGAGCTGACTGTGGGTGGCTGGAGCTTGCAACCTCAGCAGATGCTTTCTCCTCAACTGGACCCCAGATGGCTGGAGGTCTGTCCTGGCTGGAGCAGGGGACTGGAGGGAGCCCTAGGAGATCAGGGAGACTAGGGGCTGGGTGCTGTCAGGCTTTCCCCTACCCCCTTTTGCTTTCTCACTGGCGATGGCACTTGGTGTTTGGTCTGGAAGGTTGTAATCTTAGCTTATGAAAATTGGTGACAATGTCATGAATAAACACAGAAATGGTTCCAGGTGTGGTGTGAAGGAGGGGCATTGGAGGAAGAGTTAGGAAAGCTGGGTTCTGCGCCAGCTTTGGTGCACATGCCTGTGTGACCTTGATGCAGTTTCCCTCCTACCCCCAGCTTTGGCGTCCCTGTGAAGAGCTCTAGCTAGGGTCATTTCAGAATTCTTGGAATGACAGAGCCCAATAGTGAACATGGACGGCCCCAAAGAGGTGGGGACAAGAGATGTGTGTTGCCCCCTGATGGTTTCAGAGCTGAGAGCTGCATGCAGGCAGGGTCTTTGAGAGTGTAAGCAGCCGCTGAACACAAGAGACTCTCTGAGGTTCCCATGGAGTTGACACCTTCCTGTTTCCATTTGGCAGTTCCTACTTGTCCTTGGTACCTCATCTGAACCCCGGAGCCTGACACATTGCAAGAGATCAGTGCAGGCATGGATGTCTCTTTCCCTCCCGTGAGCATATTTATCCTTGTGTCCCATCCCTGTTGCTGGGCTGGAAGTAATGAATGAAACGTTTGTGATAAAGGTGAAGGTGGTTAAAGGCAAACTGGCAGTGGGACCCCCTACCCTGTGGCAGCACTGTGTCAGTGACTTGCTTCCTTGCTGAGAGTATGTGTATGTGTAGCCCATTAAGGAAGAGTAAAGGGACTACCTTTTTTGTTTTTGGATCTGTTAAATTTTGGCTTAAGCAATATACACTGTGCCTTGTTGTTAATCCAGTTTTAAAATAACAGAATCAGGTAAACTAAACAACAACAGCAAAATCTAACTCTTGCCTCTAAACTTAATACATACAGACACTTGCTGGTTTCATAGTAGATTTCTGTGTGAGATTCTTAGTTCATCCTTTGAATGGATTGATGGGTTTTGTGCAGTGAGGTCTGGGGAATGGGGGCCTATTGGGATAGAACTGGGAAGAAACAGGGTCTCACCATGGCGTGGTCTCTGCAACCCAGATCCTCATTTCCCAGCATCTCTCCCAGATGAGAGATTCTTGGCTCTGGATCATTAGTAAGAACTGGAGCTTACGATGCATTTGAACCAGGGGGAGGCGAGAGAGCAAGCTCTTCTTAGAAGAACAGCTGTCACAATTATGTAAATAAAAAATGATAGACCCAGTTTGGGATCTCTCCAGAAACTTTATTCCCAAGCTATTTATTTTAGGTTTCTATTTTAAGTTTGTTTTGGCAAAAGAAGGATAAAGGCACTCAACTACTTTCTGTTCTCTATGAGGAAAATCTGCAACTTTGGGCAATTGGTCATTCAGCAGTTATACTTGCAGAGGGTTTGTTCTTCTCACACTGGGCAGTACTCTGGGCATCTTAAGAAGATACTCAGGACTTCTGGGCTGGAGCAAAATGCTTCACTTTTGTTTGCACCATGAAGGAAGCACCCATTGTACCTTCCTCTTGACATCACCGGGAAGCCCAGCAGCCCAAGGAGCAGTGAGCCAGGGAAGTAGCCAGGGCAGGGAGCTTACATTCTTGCCTCTCCCACCTAGTCACATGTTCCAGTGCCGGATGTCTGCTGCGGTCATCAGCTCCATGCTGAAACCACACCGGACTGACTCCCTGTGCCTTGACCACCAACTTTGAGATAGTTAAAAAATAGTATGTGGTTTGAAGGGACTGACGCTTCATAGTTCACCGCATGTTCTAGAGTTACAAATAGAGAGAAATAGGATTACTGGTCCATCTGTCAAAGGGAATTTAAAAATCTAAAACTTGGGTACTTTTGGTTTTGGCAAGGTAAACGTTTTTTAGCTATGAAAATAACAGCGTGGTAGAGGAGGAAAGAATGGGCTGTGGAATCAGACATTTAGGTTTGGAGCCCAGCTTTACCTGTCTCCAGCTTTGTTTCCTAGGAAAGTTATTGAATCTCTTTAAGCCCCAGTTTCCTGTCTGCGTGATGAGAAAGAATACATGTCTTGAAGTTTAGAAAAAGCATACACAGAGTTTGCACTCCATGTAAATGACATCTGTTAGCGCTGTTACGTCATTAATGCTGTTGTTCGTGTGTTGAGTATACTTACTGTACTCTTTGATTCCTACCCCAACCTTGTGTGTATCTCACAGTGGGCTCGGTCTTTCATGTAGCTGATCGAGTAGGCCAGCCAGAGTAACTGTGATGTTCCATGGTCATACAGTTGTTCATTGGCGGACACAGAACTGGAGCCCAGATCTTTTGAGGGCTCCTCTTGCAATGCCATACACTTCAGGAGCTGTGTGTATGCACCTGTGCGTGTGTTTATTTTAATTTGTTTGCTCAATACAGTCTCAGAAATGCACTTTATGTGGAATTCTTAGGCCCTTCCTCAAATTTTTTTCTACCTAGGGCCTTGTGCATGCGAGGCAAGTACATCCCTAGCCCTGGAAATGAGAAAGATTCAACCTTGAAATAATTTTCTCTTATGTTTGCTAGTTCCACATTAAAGTCTTCTAAGACCTATTTGCCACAGTGCTTCCCTGGTAGGATAGGGGAACCAGACCACTTGTGGATCATAGGCTTGGCTCATGGTCTTGGGCTGCCCACCGGAAGTGACTGGTCCCTTCCTTTGCTCCAGCTGTCAGGCCAGGCATTGTCATTGGCTGACAAGGATTTTAATTTCCAAGGAAAAATTTGGGGCTGTAGACGTGCCTTCAAGATCTGTTTCTCTGTAAGGGAGCTACAGCATGAGGCTGTCTCCTTCTGGGGAAATTCTTGTACAAGTCGACACTGCCTGTCAACCTTGCCATGCCTGGGAAGTATGCTAGATTTCTAATTAAATGACAAAAATAGGAATCAGAAATCCATAACAAATGAAAGTTGTTTTATTATAGACTGGCTGGGTTTATTTGAAAATGCCTGCCTCAAACACATTGATTTACCAGAATTACCTGTGTTCCCTGTCCTCCTGGCTTCTGTAGTTTGGTAAAGATCTGTTTATGATCTCAATGTCTGCAGGAGTTGAGGACCACTGAGCTGGAGACTTGGTCCAGATTTTGTCTGTAGGGTGCTGCCTTGAGGCCTAATGATAGTAAGATGGATGACAGTGTGTGGTCTTACATTCAGGCATGAAGATGAATACAACTTAGTCCCTCTCAGAGCACTTCCAGTGTGTGGGGAGCACATTTACCAGACAATTTCAGTATAACACATGGATGGACAGAAGAGATGCTGTGGGTAGAGGAAGTCTGTTGAGCAGAGGCACCGAGGCACCAGCTGCCCTGGGAGTCTCTCATGGTGGGCCACAGACTGTCAGATTTGGGTGGGGCTCTTTTCCTTCTCTTCATGGCTCTCATTTCTTGGCACTATGGGTTGTTAGAAGAGCAGCGTTGTTTCTGTCCCGGCAACGTGACTCTTCTCTGATTTTTGTCCGGCCGGTGGTGGTGGTGGTGGTGGTGGTGGTGGTGGTGGTGGGTGGGGTGCTTGGCGCTCTAACACCCCTGCTCTTGGCACTCTATCACCCCTGCACTTGGCTCTTGCAGTGCGTTTGGCGCTCTAACACCCCTGCACTTGGCTCTTGCAGCGCACGTGGCACTCTAACACCCCTGTACTTGGCGCTCTGACACCCCTGCACTTGGTGCTCTCACACCCGTGCACTTGGTGCTCTCACACCCGTGCACTTGGTGCTCTCACACCCCTGCACTTGGCTCTTGCAGCGCGCTTGGCGCTCTAACACCCCTGCACTTGGCACTCTGACACCCCTGCACTTGGCGCTCTATCACCCCTGCACTTGGCTCTTGCAGTGTGTTTGGTGCTCTAACACCCCTGCACTTGGCGCTCTGACACCCCTGCACTTGGCTCTTGCAGCATGCTTGGCGCTCTAACACCCCTGCACTTGGCGCTCTGACACCCCTGCACTTGGCTCTTGCAGCGCATTTGGCGCTCTAACACCCCTGCACTTGGCTCTTGCAGCGCACGTGGCGCTCTAATACCCCTGCACTTGGCGCTCTAATACCCCTGCACTTGGCTCTTGCAGCGCACGTGGAGAATGAGGAGCAGTACACCCAGGCTCTGGAGAAGTTCGGTGGCAACTGTGTGTGCAGAGACGACCCGGATTTAGGGAGCGCCTTCCTGAAGTTCTCAGTGTTCACCAAGGAGTTGACCGCGCTCTTCAAAAACCTGGTCAGTGCTCACACTGCGTGTGCAGCTGCAGTGTGCGAAACCCTGAGAGCCCTGGTGGGAGGGCGGCCAGCATAGGGTCACGATTGATTGTTTCGTGGAACCTGAAGGAGTTAAGTTTTCTGCACACGTTGGGTCAATGTGGAAGTATAAACTTTCAGGTCTTTACTCTAACCTGACTTTTTAAATTCAGCTTCACATTTAGAAGTGTGTGGCTGCAGGATAGGATTTAGGTAAGTACATTTGTCTTCTTAAGGGCCTCTGACTTCAGTTTTTAATAGGTTTTATACTATGTAGAATAGTTTCTGTTTCTGGTAATTATAATAAGCATTCATACTGATAATATTTAATAAATACGTTTCAGACCCATCTTACACAGCAAAGTAAGCTATAATCAAAGCACAGAAATTTGCATGAATATTTAAAGGCCTCTTATGCTCCCAATATAGAGCCTAAAAAAAAAGGTGGAAAGAAATGTCTCATTTCTTGAGCAAGCAGAAATATGGAGTTGATATGGATGCCTGTGGCTAGTGCTTGGTAACATGGGGTGAATTGAGCCTTTCTTGTGCTTGGCAGCTCTCTCCTTGCTGAGGGAACAGAATTCTGAAGAAGAGTGCAGTGAGAGGGCTGCTTGTGACCCTGCCCTGGTGGTGTCTTCCACAGTAGAGCAGGCCCTGGGGATCACCCCAGCATCTCTTTCCTGTTTTTCTTCCCCAGCCTCTCCTAAAGGTCACAGAAGACCAGGTCAGGAACTCAGTCATCCTCTCTATGTAGGTCACAAACAGCAGTATCTTTTTCATTTCTACTTTCGGCAAACTTGTAACAAGTGAAGAAACAGCTGGCTATTTTTGAAGTGGTGATGCTGATGGGTTTGTAAGTCTGGCCTTGGAAGGGCAGAAACCAGGGAACATAGTGTATGAGTTAATAACAGGAAGGGCAGAGAGCAAGATCATTGAGGTTCTTGGTCTCTGTCCCCATGGTCACTTGTAAATATTTTCATTGGAAATGGTAAAAATAAAAAGCTGTCTCTCTGCTTAAGTTTTTTACTTAAGTCTCTTGGGGCTTGGATCAAGTTCACCCTTTGACCCTGCACCAGTAACATCCTACTCCTACCTGCTGAGGGGTGGAGCTCTCCTGCCCCAGTGCTCACCACCATGTCAGAAAAGAATGGAGGATTTTTGTTATCTTTGAAAAACTGACCTCAGGGTAAAACTCTAGATGCTTACATGGTGGGGGTATTCTAGGGAAAAGTCATTGTGCTGCCTGATTTCCCAGACCCTCTGTGGAGACACTCCTTCCACACATGCACAACAGCCAATCTGCTTCCTGATGCCTCACTGCTAAGTACAAATGAGAGGCCTACAGAATGATAGACCAAAGCAAGCAGGAAAAAAAAAAAAAACAAAAAAAAAACAGGGGGAAAGAGCAATGCAAAGAGCAGAAGAAAACATTAAAGGCACTATGTTTAATTTTTCAGAGAAACCTAAAGAGACCTTGTGTCTGTTTGGGGAGGGTGAAAGTATGCTGGTATAAAGAAAGTGGGGGAGGGAGGGCCATTGTGTAAGAAAATATGAAAATTAAAACCCAATGAGAAGGGTCAGAGTAGAAGAAATCTCTTGGGAAACAGATCAAAAGAAAGAAAAATGTCAAGTAAGAAACGTTAGGAAAAGACAACAATTATCCTCAAAGTCCATCATCCTCCTGATGGGTATTTTGGGAAGAGAAAAGGAGAGGAGGATGTCGCTGTCCATGTAGCAGTCTGAGGATCTCCCAAGTGCCCAGTGCAGGTAGGGAAGACATCCACCCCAGGGCAGCTAGTATGAAATAGCAAAAGATCTTAAAGCTTCCACAGGACTCAGAATCAGAAAGGTGGTGGAGTTCTCAACAGCAGCACTGAACACAGAACAGTGCCATGAAATCCTGAGGAAAACAGTTCCACTTGGACTTAAGGCCCAGCTGGCTGAGCTAGAGCATAGAATTAAAGATATTATCAGACAAGCAAGGCCCAAAAAGCTGAGCTCCTAGCTATCATTGCTCTGAAACTACTGCAGGATGTGCTTTAGCAAAATGAAAGAGGAAACAAGAGTTGGGGACAGGACCCGATGCAGGAAGCCAGGCAGTGAAAGGCAATCAGGAAGATGGCAGGGGGCATCCCAGCAGGACTGCTGAGGAGGAGCCTAGAAAGAAGCCTGCTTAGCATCTGAGCTGGGAATGCTGGAGACAGGTTGGAGGAGGCCTGCGCTCAGTCCCTTCACCCCCAGGCAGCTAGCTTTTTCCTTAAATCTTCACTCTGCTGATCTCCTCCTGGTTTTTCTCAGCTGATTTTGTGTATAGGATATAACCATCTGGTAGCTTTTACACATTTTAGCTTATTTAATAAGCTAAATAATAATAGCCCTCTAAGGTGAGTCAATGTTAGCCCCACTTTGTAGACTGGATAATGTATAGAGCTAATATCTCTCTGGGGAGGCTTAGAGTCCTTGGGCACCTTGGGGTTTGCGTACCTGCTAGTGTTGAAGGGCCAGTCCTGCATCATTCCACATTATGGAGTCTGGAGTAAATGGGCTTGTTTTTAGTTATCCCTATAGGTAGCTGCGCAGTTAGCCCAAAGCAGCCGCTTCTTTTTGTATTTGCAGAAAGCAGGGCAGGGCCTGGATGTTGTGAGTGATATTTTGCTTACCATCCTTTGGCTTTGCCACTTGCAGTACTTCAAAAATCGCTGCAAGTCGAAGCTGCTGTTAGCTTTCTGCAGTGAGTGGAGGTCTCAGAGGGTGAGCACCATGGTGTGTCAAGCATGGGCATTCAGGATATTGTTTCCTTTGTTCCTGGTGACTGCCATGCAGGAAAACCTGTACTGCTTCCATGTGAGCATGGAGTGCATGTGTTCAGTAACTTACAGGGGACCAAGTTGTGATTTTAATCTATGCCTTAACATGTCAAACTCACTGGGCATGGAGGTGCATCCTTGTAATCCCAGCACTCAGGATGCTGAGGCAGGAGGATTCTGAGTTCAAGGCCAGACTAGACTACACAGTGAGACCCTGCCTCAAAACAATACAAAACAAAAAAACCCTGGCAAACTTGTGGTGTTTGCACTGACATTTAAAGGAACCGAGGCCTGATGTCAGTTTCTTTGGGAAGGAAAACAGGGAGCATAATGGAAGGCTCTGCAGGAGAAAGTGCAGTGTAAAGAGAAATGCCCAAGCCTGCACTGCTGGTGGGGAGGAGACAACCCGAGGCTCTTGTCCCTCATCTTACAAGAACCGTGAGACATAGCCACCTCACAGGGAGAACTGAGCAAGTGGGGAAGGTTTGTAAAGTACTTCTCAGCACCTAGGTGATGTGTCTCAGTTGTTACGATCTGTGAACTTTCTGAACCCAGGCTATAGTGGCTTTGAGGACATGTGTATTGCTTTAGTTTTGGTTTTTACTTTATTAGGTTAGGATTGTTGGTCTTGCTTCCCAGCAAAGACAAAGAGAGAAAATCTTATTTGAGCCTAACTCAGCAATCGCCAGGCCCAATTTCCTAGGCCTGTGCCTGGCATGGAAGCTGTCAACTATAGGAACTCGAGTGGCAGCTTCTGAGAAGCTGGGCTGAACTGAGCTGGTTATAGGAGAATTCTCCTTTTTTGGTGTTTTGTATACCATTCTTACTCCCGCTTTTGGTCACATCTGTCCTATCTCATATTTTGAAAGCCTTTCCTTTGCTTTCCCTCAGGCATTTAAAAAACATTTCAGTTCTGTATGGCTAAGATTTTCAGTTCTGCCTCTTGTCCAGAGAGAATAATTACCACCCTCCTGCTTTGAGGCCTGAAAGGATGTTTTTGAAGCAGTTGGAACATCTCCAGAAAAAGGCTGACTTAGTATAAAGCAAGATTTTCTTCTTCATTGGTAAGATTCTCACCTGTAGAAAGCCTATGAGCCTTCTCTGCAGTCCTTCAGGATAAATGGAGAATCCAGGGAACTCTAGAAATGCAGCATGTGTGATGTTAAACAAGTCATAAAGCCAGCTTGGTTTCTTAGCTTCTTTCCCCCTTCCCAGATGGGTATGAGAATCTTGGAGAGATTTTAAGGGCCACTTCTGGGTGAGAAGTAGCTTTTTGATGACAGGCTGTAATACAGGACCAATTTCTAAAAAGGTCAGCTACAGATAAGTGGCTGACTTCAGAAAATGGGTAGTGGAAGGGGGACTCAGTCTACAGAACCCGCTCCATATGAAGACCAGCATGAGTTCAAAGCAGGAGCCACTGTCACTGGGCTGAGGATGCAGCTACAGCCCAAGATGCAAGTAGACCTGGGCTGACTTCCTGAAAGAGGAACTAGGGTTTCAGGCATCATGTTCCTGAGTCATCATTGTTTCATACAAGTGACCTGCATGTGAAGACATTATAGCTACGTAGTAGAGGAGGCCAGCTTGGTTCTGTTGGCATGAGCGGTAACTGGTGACTTTGTAGTGTGTGGCCTGCCTGGCAGAGAGGTGCTCCCTCTCACCTAGTAGAGGCATTTCATCTCACACGCGGGGGAGCGGAATGGGAGTGTGCTCCATCTCACCTGGCATAGGTGCTGTGCCTCACCTGGCTCCACTGTACTAGTACACTATTATCCTTCCCAGCACCACCAGTGTGGGTTAAGTACGAGATGATCTCCATTTTAATAAAGCTTGTCCTGCCACTTAATAGTGCAACCTTACTACCAGAAGGCCTTTCTGAGGCACTTCAGAGTCTTTCTTTCAACTTCTTTTATTGAAAATGTTTCATGTTTTAGCATGTCTTAACAATCCTTATTAGGGACACTAATCATAACTTTACCTTTTGGTAGGAAAACTTAGTCATTGTTTTGGACCTAAAGTAATGAGCTACTCTGAACTCTAGAGAAACCTCCAGTGGCGTGGTATATGGGAATATCCGCCCCTAGATTAGTTCTAGACTATTGGACTTTCCATTTCCAACATCTGCTTTTTAATATTCTGACTCTTTTTCTTTCAGCTAGTTGGAACATTTACT